CCAAAGAACTGGCTTCTGTTCCTTGTTCTTGTATAAAGAAATGGTTGAAGTGATTAGTATTTCGATTGAGAACTGGTTATCATCACCAGTTCTTTTTTTTTTATAAGAATTCGGTTCAGTAGTATAATTAAATGACTGTGGTGAATGGTTTTATTTTTAGATTAGTTTTGATGGCAGTTTTTTCTGAATTCAAGCGTTGTTCAGTTATGAAGTGTTGAGATTGTATTCGGTTTTTGTTATTTTAAACAAAGTATTAGCGAGTTATTATGCAGATTTGTTTCGAGTGAAGTATTGCACAGCGTTGGATTTTGAACAAGGAAGTGGAACGATTATTCTAATTACTTGAGTTCTATGATCGAGACATGTCAAGGATGTGATGGCGACTTTTAGAAAATGCTGTTTAATTAATTTGATGTTTTTGAATGTTAAATGATGTTGTGAAGGACTGTATCGAAAGTGATGACATTTTACATCTTTAGCTGTTGAGCTTCGGAATCCAGGGGATTCTTATCAAAGGCTGCCACATTGGATGTTTGTAACAAACCTATTTTGATGATATTCAAGTATCAAATAGATTATGAATTGATTTTTAATATTCATAAATCAATGGTTCATGAAATAGAGCTTTCGTTATAAATTGAAGGGCTTTAGATGATAAGCGGTATTGTTTTTTGAAGATTTCATAAATTAGATTCTTTCAAGTGGGTATATGATGTTGATAAATAAACAAAAAATTATCCAACATAGTATACATTACATTGGCTTATGGTTTCACAGGAGAAGAGGGAAATAATACGGAGGAAATCCAATATGAACGGAATGAAATTTAGACTAATCAATAGCTTTAAATATTTTTTTTATGAACAGGTTTATCAATGTGATACAAGAAGTAATTCAAATTTACGTAAACATCTGGCAAGTTTGTCTCATCAAATACCAAATGTTTTATATGCTTCCCAAACGAATGATGATAAGAAGTTTCAAGTTCCAATGATATCACCTGAACGCAAACGAGAGCTGCACACGGCTGCTGTTAATTGTGTACTACGTGATGGCCTTCCATTTGGAGTATTTCGACGGCCCGGCATGAGCCAATTTCTTCAAACAGCTGTTCCTGGATATGTTGGACCACATAGAAAAACAGTTCGAAAAAGAATTGCAGCATTATATTCATCATATACCAGTAAAATTCGTGTTGTTTTATCTAAAATTGATTTTATTGCACTGACATGTGATTTATGGAGAAGTTCGAAACGAGTATATTATATTAGTCTTACTGGTCATGTTTTCACAAGTCAATATGAAACTGTGCCACTGGTTCTCGGTTGCCGCCGAGTTATTGGCCGCCATTTATCAATAACAATTGAATGATACATTGAGTTCGAATTAAATCGACTCCGTATCAAGCCCGAACAAATAGTAAGCATACCACTGATAATGGTTCTGAAATGAAGAAAGCAACATCAACATTAAAATTTGGCAATCGTATTTCCTGTATGGCTCACAATTTAAACCTGGTGGTAAAGCATGGTCTCTGTCTTTGGAAAGAGCCAAATCCAGATAAGTAAGAATAATTTGATACGACTAATTTTTGTTCAAGAATGTACAAAGTGATACCTTTCATGTTGCTGTATTCATGTGGTATTCAGCTGAGTATTTTTCTAGTAGGCAAATCACGAAAAGAATTTTTCATCATAAGCCTTCCTTCAAAATTTACTAATATTGATCTAAAATTCGTTTACAGGCCTTGAAAAATCAAAAGACTTATAATGTTATAAAAAGAACCATAACGAGCTAGAATTTTTGTTCTACATGGATCAAATAGTCTTATTTCTATTTTGATAATATTCAATTACTTGGCACATTTGTCATTCAACTATGCAATTCTCTGTTGGGAAGTAAAACTGATGGCTGTTTTTCGACATTAATCTTATAATTGTCATACATACACGGTTTTTATCGTGTGAACTGCAGTTCTATCTTATTCATTAATATTTCAGGGTTCTCCTCCAAAGTAAAAAAAGAATCGGAATTTTTTAATATCATTGTTTTTCACTTCATAAGAACTTCGGGAAAAGTATCTACCATTAATCTTTTCTCTTCTCTTCTTGTTTTATGCTATATTAAATAAAATGAGTTATGTCTTTCTTAGACAAGTGATTTCCGATGTCAAAAGAAAATCTACATCATTCGTTACCACAATTTCATATCCAAATATCTGGCAAATATCTCACAGACCTTCAGCTGTGTTTATTTAGATTTGATTTGGAAGTTTTGATTGCACCAAATGCTTCAGTTTTTTTATTACAGAAATTTTATAAGTGAATGATAGATTCAGCTGATGATGGGTAATTATCAAATTAGAATTAGAATTCTGTTATCTATGTGGAATAAAAATTCTACATCATTATAAATTGAAAGATATTTTTAGGTCTGTTAGAAGAAATCGGACCAACCTTAATAACTTTTAAAGGAAGACTTAGGGAGAAAAGTTCTTTTAGTATTTTACTTATTTCAAAATAATTAATCGAATAGATATGAACGAAACAGCATCGAATGAATCACCTTGCATCGTTTCCTGCTTAGGAGCACTTCTTCCAAACATCGTTTTATGCCATTTGAGCAAAAGCATCTTGAAACAATTTAAAGTCAACAAATAATGACACTTAAAAATTTTTCGTCATCTTTTGATTTGAAATATTTTATCCGTTGTCGTTGAGATCAATCTTTTCTTTTGTTCCGGACTGTGGAGATAATATCTAGAAATGAAAAATAGCTTGTGTTCATGCAGCACTTATGGTACCAGTGAAACTGTAGTGCTTGTGGGATATATTATTATCCAACGTCGGCATTGAGTGAGAGGTAGTAGCCCAGAATAAAGAATACAAGATTCATCTATACAAAGAAGAGAATATTGATAGTTGTACACCATTCACTATCGCTACCATGTTAACGGTGCATCAATCATCTGTTTCGCTGTCACCGATATATATTCCTAGTATATATTCGGTGTTTCACGATACTGAAACTTATTTGACTACAGAATATTACCTAGCATAATGATCGTATTTCTCCTTAAAATATATGGAGCAATATGATTATTATACTGAAGTATATAAGACGTCCATATAAAACCATCTACGATTTCTTAAGAGGACACTTGTTTGGCCAGAAGCATTTCAATAAATATAGATATTCTTTTTTAATAAATTATTTGGTAGTTTGATCAATTTTTGCCATTTTGTGTACACATAGATGTAGCATTATAATGACCCAGAGTGAGAGACATTTTTTTAACAGAAGAATAGCGTTATCCAAGTTCATATTATGTGATTGATTTTATGTTAATTTATTTTAGTATAGAATTAACGCCAATATAAATTGTTGTAAATAATGCTACTGATTGCTCCGGTATATTCATGAATTAATATATTATATATATATATGTATGCTTTAGGTTTTATTCCAAATATGAAGAATACTGAGTAAAAAAATGATAAAAGTTAGAATATTTTTAATATCAAGATTTTTATTTATTTTGTTTATTAAAACTTTGAGCGAAAAATCTCGAACACCAACATGCTACTCTGTATCATTGTATATCGTTCATAGAGTAGTAGAAATTATATATCTATGAATATATAGGAAAAGAATTTTTATTAACTGTGGCAACTAATGATATAAAATGTTGAAATAGAATTTCAAGGTTTGTATTAAAGTGAAAGATGCATATAGTTACAATATCGTAAAGATAAAATATGTTGAAATCTTAGTAAAAAAAAGTCACTGAACTTGCATATATTAACTGAATTCTATTAGATTAATGCAACATGCTCCAAATGGTTCGTTTTTAATGCATTTTTTTAAAAATAAGGTCTTATATCGCGAACAAATTTGTTTCAGAAAGCTATTCGCTTTTATGTATCAAGTTTTTCCATCTATCTATGTAGTGTTTCATTTAATCATGTTCCTATCTAATGGCATCTAAATATTTATCTCCATCATGACAGCTTAGAGCTGAACTGACTAAAATTTGATGAATGTTGGTTGTATTTTGCGCTGTTAATAAAAAAATTAGTTAACACTGTTGTTTTAAGGTAAAAATGTTGCTATTTTTAGAATCGTTTCTTTTACGTCGGATCTATACTATTGATGAAAAAGTAATGGTGTTCAATTATTTAAAGATTGTACTAGGTGGACTGAAATATTAATAATACTGACACCTTATGTTAAAAATAAAAAGAATGAAAAAAGAAATTTGACGTGCATATTTATAAATAAATGGTATGGTTATTTCAAGTGAAGATCTAATTTACTCAATCGACTGGCTTATACATAAAGAAAGATTCACATTCTGAACATATTTCAGATCTAAATAGCTGATTCCTAAAATTCATAAGTTG